AAGAAAAAAGACTCTATCAAATTCTGCCAAACACTCTACTTTCATGGCCAGGTGTTGTAACAAAACAGCGATCCCCAGCGCACACAGCAAGGTTGTTCTGTGCTCAGATTTCTGCATAGCATCACTCCCTTCTACTAAAAAACTACTGAAAAGTTATAAATCAGAAACCAACCCGTATCCACAGACAGACACTTTAGTGTAGGTACTCAGTTTTTAGATATGATGAGAACCAAAACTTCTGTTCTTATTAACAGAAAATCAGGCTACATTTATTTTGGTTTTCATCTTGGTTTTAAACGCCACTGAACCATGTTTTAAAATTTTTAGCCCAACAGTATAAATTATATCTAACTTTCTGTCTAAGAAAAGGAAATACATAAAAACTGCAATATGAAATACATATAACTGGGAAATTTTAAAGCACCAGTCCAACAAAGCATCCCAGAATTTAAATGCTTTTCTGGATTGTCACTCAAGAGTGTCACTTTCTTCCTGACAGCGTTCTCAAATTTTTGTAGCATATGCTGTGCACTTGATAGGATAATACTATATTATGAACTTTTGAATAATCCCTAAGTTAAAATCAATTCTAAACTTTCTTGCTTTATTTGCCAGTTTATCTTATTACTAAGACCTTTCATTTGCCTTTCCTGTACCATTTTAAAAATAGGACTTTATTTTTGTCACACTAATAGATCATCAAATGCACATAATAACTTGGAACGCTGTCTAGCTGCCCAGTATGGTCTGCTGTGATACAAAGTACTGCATATGGTCTCTGGTTTAGAAAGTCTATAGGACTAAATTCAAATGTGTAATGTCCACTATTCAAAATAGGCCTTTATGGCAGGGGCATCAAATTCAAGTGGTTTTGGCAAGCTAATGAGAATTCTGAGAATTTGTCTTTGTAAAGACCATGTAACAGAAACTGTCAAATTTCATTGCACAGGACAGAGCTGCAGCTACCCCATCACAGACCATTTCCTTCTACTAACAAGTGTCTTAGGCTCATCTTAATGTTCCATTTTCAGGTTAGAAGAGGTAACTGAAGATAAGTAGGTAATTTTATGCTATTTTTTACAAAATCTCCCTTTTAAGCAGAAGAACCATTACACAAACAAAGAGGCACATTAAGGTTTTAATACAATGGATTTAGAAGCTTTTCATAAATAAAATCAATATAGAATTCTCTCTCTCTTTTAATACTATACAGTGGATTATGGGACAACAACCCTTTAAAAATGTGATAGGATTTGAGACTGTAAAATTGTATCTCAATGGATTTTAGAATCATATTCTTTAGAAGGTAGTTCCAAGAGGTGAGCTAATGTTAAAAATTTTTAGCATTATTTAAATATTAAACCAATTGAGGAACAAATGTCCACTGGAATTTGTAAAATGTTTTCTAAACTAACAGAACCTTTTTTTTTCCTATTTTTCAAAGAAAAACATAAAACTTTCCAGCCTGACAGCTTAAAAGTAAGCAATAAAAACTGCTTCAGGTAATAGTTTTCAGTTCACTTTTTTCAGTTTCAAATTCTATTTTTTATCATTGATCAAAAATATTGGTCTATACACATTACTTCATATTAAAAATTGAAAAATGGAAGGTTACTATGATGACTTCTGTTCATTTGAAAAGCTGCTTTAGTTGACCAATAACTTCACTGAGGAAAGTGTGACAAGGTCAAGAATTTATCGACCTTATAAGACTAGCTCCCTCAGAAATTTTTACTAGTGATGTTTTTACTGTAAAAAAACACTCACATTGAGCACCTGAACACAATTTCAGTTCACATAAGATATATTATTAAAATATTTAGAATAAATATACACTACTAAATAAAAATAACCCTCACAACTGAGCTCCCTCACCTATCAATCCATAAGGAGAAAACTTGCCTCATGGGTTGCCAGAGATCATTTTGAGACACTGAGGTGAAAAGACATCATAAACTCAACTCTAAATTATAAGCAAATAAGCAACTCTTATGGCAAGAGTGAAGGGAGAGACTCCTGGACAAAGCATAGTCTGAAAAGTGCCTTTTCCACCCCTGTCTTTCACAGTTCTGTAGACTGGGGTTCGGGACAAGCATTGATCATCCTCCAGGTGAAGAAAGGAAATAGTCCAGTTCCTAATACTGCTTTAAATCGATAATATTATCCTTCTATTCCCAAAGAAGTCAGAGCGGAACCATCAGAACACAGGATCTTACCCCTGCTTTAAGCATATACCACAAGTCAGAGCATGGAAAACAACACAATCAGCTCTTGTTCCTAACTACCAGAATGAAAAGGCCCAAAGGCTTAAACCCTTATTATGGCGTTTCCAACATGTGCCAACTTTAATCAATTTTCCTAATCATGTTAAGGTTAAAGAGATCAAGAAGATAAGTAGTCCACTTATGCGTTTCAATTTCAGACAGGCACAGCTGCTTCCTTCCCACCCTCTTGTACTACACACTTCCTACAGGAGTCATTCTGTAAAAGAAAATCCACGGCCTTACGGGAAGATGTAAACTGGACATTTCTGCAAATTCCATTTTTCCAAGCAGAAGATTACTTCAGGTAACACTAAACATCTTTTAAAATAGTGACTCCGTAAGATCATTGGGTACACACTAAAGCTTCTATTGTTGTCACTTTATTGAAAAAATGCAGTGCCGCTAAACATGTTTTAAAGATTCTTTTTAATCTTTTAATATTATTAAAAATAAAAATAAAATTTATTCTTAAACTAAGACCTCGTAGAAACAGCTTCATCTTATAACGTTTTCATGGCCGAATAAAGCTCTAAAAGTGTTTTTTATTGGAAACATCAGCACTAAATTTAGCTATCACACCATTACTGAAAGTTGTTACCCTCCTTCTCATTGCTTGCCCAAATCTTAATTAGAACTCTATGGATTCTGAATTTCCCAATTGCTAAAATATTGTATGATAATAAAAACTGTGATAGATGCTATGGTGTTTTTGGCTTTTCTGATGAAAACAAAGGGAGAATACCTACAGAGCTAAAATACAAGGCTAAAAGCTACCTAGGCTGTTATTCTCCATCGTATATCTGTGAAGTTGATTACTCCTATCCAGGAGTCACTACTGAATTTCATACAATTTTTTCCCAGATTGTTCATTCAAATTTTAGATCATTCCAGTATACTTTAGGGCACAAAATATCGTATAGTAAAAGGAAGAAGGCATGAGATCAGTGATGAGAGTTTATGCGTGCCTGTTTCTTAAGGCAGATACTGTCAAAAAAGACTTATTCATTGACATTACTCACAATGAACAATATAAGCCATCGTGAGAAAGTAGCACAT